TTGCTTCAATGTTTTCAATTCTCTTCATCATGTTTCTTAGTTCGTGCATAGACTGTAATTATTTATCAAATATCTTCTCTTTTAATGATGGTTTGAGACCAGCTTTGATGTTTAACATTTTTCTCTCTCCATCATGGAATGATTTACTTGAAAACAAAGTTTTGCTACAGCATAGATAAATTGTAGACTGGTTTCCTTGGGTTGTTATTTTCGTTTTAGAAGATGGAAAAATTCCTGATTTTTATGTAAGTTATGATTGAAATCGATGTTGAATTTTCATTTTAAGCGTTGGCGATGATAAGAGTCGATGATTATTTTATCCGAACCAGTTTTTGGCGTCATTTGGTGGTAATTCATTATGTATTGTGAGTGTACACTTCAAGAAAAGACATTTCTTCACACTAAAAAGGATGTGGGTGTGTGGGTGTGGGTGGGAAGAATAAGAACATCCACACTCACACTCTTTTATATCATCATTGTTCTTTCAATTCAATTGAATATGATGTTCTATTTTTAAGGACCAATCTTTTGATTCTTTCAAACAGAAATCATCAGCCACCTCCTGAGCTTCCCTGCATTGTTGCTCACACATTCGTTATTCGTGTCCTTCCAGCTTGCCTCAAACTATGAGATATTACAATGCTGTGGCACTTTTACATTCCTTATCATGCTCAAGTATTTTAACTCTTTTTCAACTCTTACCATTCATCAATTGACTACGTTCTAATTTTACATTCGATATTTCAAAGTCGATTTCTTTGAATGAATAATTCCGTAGATTATTTCTAGAAAAAGGAAAAAGAAGCGAATAAGAAGCACCATTACTTCCTCTACACTTATGTCGCGTCAGTGATATATACTATTTCACTCAATTTCTTCTTTTTCGTATAAAAGCATAGTAACTAAAAATCTACAGAGTTTCATACGTTCATATACATTTATTTTTCCTTTCAGATTAAAATTCATTGTCAAACATACATGTATAAGATTTAGTAACAATAGATTAACAGTAAATCATCTACAAGGGCGATATGGAAGCTAGAACGTATCTTGCGTTCATTGAATCATGTATATTCTTGTTTTTTTAACAGTAGCATTTGATAATAGCTAAAAATTGTACGACAATCGTTGAACACAAAAATTTTAATCGTATTGAAGCCAGACGAAAAGTGAGCTCAAAAATATTGCTAAGAATTTATATAAAATAGAAATTTATTCTTGATTATGTTTGCGTCTTCCGATATGTTCACTCGTCGGACCAATCAGCTGCCTATTCCATTGTATTGTAAAGATGATCTGTTGTTATATCACTGTCGAATTCTCGCGTCCAAATTTCATCCGTTTTATCACATGATTTTTTCATATTGCTATCATCAATTATTGGCCATGGATCATGAAAAATAACATAGCCAACAAGACGAACACAATCAGCTGCATAGTTTAATGGTTCTTGCATATGAGCATGCCACATAATATCAATCTAAAAACACATAACAATTTAACGAAGTAATGGATCTTCTTCTTTTATTAAGAGAAGTATTTTACCGCATATGTTGGAGGTACAAAACCATTACCATCTTTCAGTGGATATTTAACTGCCATGTATAAAAATCGTTCATAAGATTTTTTCAATCTTTTCATTGCTCCTGGTCCAAGATTGATTCCTGTTGATAGTGGCGAATAATAAGATCCATCAGACATCTTTTGTAGTGCATCCATCATGAATTTTTTACACATATCAAGCCATTTCATATCCAAATTGATATCACCTTCTGTAAATGAAAAAGGATTTTCATAATCTTTAGGTGATTCCAACGAAAATTCGAAATTTGTTTTATCCCAATAAGAATAATTCGTTAATTCATTAATATGCGAATCGAAAATATAATGAAAAACATTAGATGGAACTTGATTTAGGTGACCGATTGATGATAATGGACAATATTGTTCACCAAATCTTTGTTCATATAATTGGCAAGTATCTCGAAATGCTTGTTCTTTCAAAAACTCTTCAATATCATTAGCTAACAATTTATGATCAATAATTCGACGAAATAAACGAATACAATCAGCTTGATAGATTTCAGGTCGAAGTAAATGAGTTTGCCAAACTATTTCAATATCTAATGTAGGAACTAATAGAAGATTTGATGGATTAGATGCTTTCAATTGCATAAAACGATAATATCTTATGATCATGTGTTTTAAAATAGATGATTGTTGCCACTGTTGTTGAAACTTTGATGCTTTTTCTAATAGTTTTATAAGTTCACGAGCTGTATCTTCAATATTGACCGATAGTTCAATCGTCCTACAAGAAAAAGGAACCATTATTATTCATTGATTAGAAGTATCTTTCAGTATTAGAATCTATTCATAATGAAAATCAATGTTTCGACTTAGTGAACGCGTTTTAACATGAAAATCTTCTTTACTTAGAAAAACAATTATGAGTGCATTGTCTATGAAATAAAAACGATGCAGTTGTTGTTGCTAATCACATGAGAATTTTTTCATTAAGTCTATTTTGGGACACATCACTTTATTATCTTTTACTTAACCATCTAGAACAGGGCTATGGAAGTAGTGTGTATATTTTAATGAGATGCTAATTAGTTATATATGGTCTTTTATCGTATAACAAGAGTGTCTATCGCAGTCTATGGAGAATAATGGTGTATAAATTTGTATCCCATACACTTCAACATTCCTTTTAGATCGTATCTAAAAAAAATAATTGGATGAATAAAGCTAAGTGTGGTAATATGTTGTCCCTGGTTTTTTTAATCTATCTCGTATATCAAAAATGAGTGCATGCTGTATGACCATTGCAAAAATATAAAGCAATGAAGAGCATATTTCACATATTAAACATATTAACGTAGAAGCCTCGTCAACTAAATAATTCAACAAAATACTTGTGTCAAAAAAGGAAGCTTTTCATACATGGTTGATGATGAATTCGGATGCTGAGTGAATCCACCAATGGATTCAAAATTATATTTTCCTGTCGGTCGTATAGGAAATACGGGAGGTGAAATTCTGACACATGCAGTTCTGATAGACAAAGCCATACGTCGTAGGTGTTTATTATGTAAACATTTTCCATGCATCCAATCCATATAAATTTGTTTAAATGATTTGGAATATAATTTTGTTGATGCTAATCAATAGTTTTCAACATTAACATTTAAATAGAATATTAAAAAAAGGAAACAGTACTTACTATTGTATTTTGGTTTCCATATTTCATCTTGATCAGCGACCATTTTGAATGATCGACAAACCAATGAAACATTACCTAGATCTCTTACGGATAGAAATCGAAATATATGTAATAGAATTTCATTAGAAATGGAAACAAATGGTGAATTCAAGAGAGCAACTTGTGTTTCACTAGAAGACCATACATGTTGCCAAGTAACATTTGGTATACTAGGTACTGTAACCTCTGTTTTGACAGAGCCAAAATCAAACATTTTTTCGATGCTATCATAAAAACCATTCATCGAGTGATCTAAACAAAATAACAGTTTTCAATGATACAACAATTTTGTCAGAAGAAGGAAATAGAAAGTATATTCAAAAGAAAAAAATCTATGAAGAGCACAAATGCGTTTTTTGTTTTTAGTTGTTTCAAGCTATAAATCATAAGAGGGTGTTATGTGATAAATGATGTATAATTTATGGCTAGTAAGTAGAAACGAATCAAATCGTAAAGACAAGGGTCAATCAATTTGATGACTGTCAAACAATCATCAGTCTTGATTTCATAGAGATCTGTTTTCATTTTTGCCTATGTAAGCTCAATAAAACATTGTATTACTTATTAACATTTTACATCAAGAGAATAGCGCAAGATTTAAAATAAGGACGTAATTCATATACTATACCAGAATTTTATAGATGTACGGTCTGTTCATGGGATGTGAGAGGAGGAGTCAAAGTTTTTCAAGATCATGTTTCACAAAAGCAGCTTACTTTAGTAAAACAAAGTATGTTGTGTTTATCACCTTGATGCGTAATATGACTATGTGTTGTTCAATGACACATTTTTTCTTTCCATGCTCACATGTGTTCTATAATTGCCTAGTATTACTTAATCCTTCATTTATTACGAATCATTACTCTCCCACTCATAAATTTATTGCGTAAGCATGTTGTGATTCAGCTTTTTATTTTTTATTTTTAATGTATTCTTACTATGAGAATTTGCAATCATTATATATTTTAATGATTGTTGATAGATATTATGAGAATTCGATCATTGATACAAATAGATAACAATGAATAACGGAATAATCTAACTTTAGAATTTATGTTCTGAAGTTAAGAAAATGTTTTAATAAAATTTTATATGTTATTAAGGTTTAAAATCAATTTAAATTATATTTATGTGCTATAATTTTACTGATGAAAATATCGTAATATATCTCGTCTATTCGACATTAACTAATAAATAAATTCATATTGATTTCTCTTTTTTTTTGACTTGAAATAATATGAATCAAAACAAACTCTCTAACAAAATCTGCTATTCTTTTAACGTGATAGAATATTTTTCAATACAACAGATTTTATATAGAAAACTCAAATGAAAAAATAGATTTCTAATTTAAATAATAATTTGTTGAAAAATTCTCTCCAGTATGAAGTTCGATTCATGGTTACATTTTGTTTTTACTACTTTCAAATGAATTCTTCAGTACAAGTTTATAATTGTGTCAAATTTAGTTTGATAATTAGATTTATTCAAAGAATATTTTAAAAATAATCAACAGTCAAACGAGTCAATTATACATACAAATGTCTTGCATGAGTACGATTTTTCAAAATTGAACCGAAGCTAATCGACATTCGACAGATAATTAGCAAAAGAAAAGAGATTATCTCTAATCTCACAGAAAAAAAAGAAATTGAATAAAGTGATTCAGGATTCACTTGATGTTTTTTTGTTTGCTTCTAAAATCCGATCAATTTTACTAAATATACGCTTGCTTGTGGCTAATGATACTGGAATGGAACGCAGTTTAATTGCCAATCGTCATTATTGTGGATACATACATGCATGCTTTTTCTATTTCAATAATTTATTTTTCCTCTTCATTTGCTCAGTTACTTTGTCGTATTTCATCATCATTGGTATTTTATTGCACCTTGGAATCATTAGTCAAACAATAACACTATTAGAAAATTACAAAATCAAATCAGAATGAAGAAACTGCATGATAATTACTCGTTTGCACGTATATTTAATAATACCTATTTAGAATATAAAAACCAATGATCTATCTTGTGTGACTTTCAAATTTTATTCTAACAATAAAATAATTAATATCGTTTATTGATTATATGATATAGTGACAATGCAATCATATTCTGCTTATCTCTATTGTGTATCAACATATCAATTTCGGAAATTTCCAAATTTTCTTTCTTTTCTTTATCTAGAAATTTCTCAAGTGTACCTTGGTATTTTCCAAGTAAGCCTTGAGTACACATTTAGAAATAACACGTTGCCATCAGTTCAGTTGTTATTTCGCTTGTTCCATTTACTCTTCGAAAAAGCTAACTCTTCCCATTGGTGAGTTTTCTATTCATGATTGAATTCAACAAGACATACAAATTAATGACTCATATAATAAAAACGATTTACTTTTCAGAAGAAACGATAACTGAGAAATAAAGTTTTTACAAATAATTGACTCTTTTCTTCAATTAATTATGTAACTATTTTCTTAGTACAATCGAATTCTTATTAGATAGTTTAACGTTTTCGAAGCTATAGTTTTATTTTAATTGACTCATTCAAACAAGAAATTTCTACTTAACTGTAATAATCTATTAGGCTATATAATAATGTGAAAAAATTGTTTTTGATGAATAATAATCGAAGAAATTCAATACGAAACAAAACAATTATCGTTCAAAATTAGATAAAATGATGTACTTTTAACAACTATGTCATAGTTTTTTTCAGCTATCGAATGAGTCTATGAAAATTATCTTGCATACTCAGAAAGAATCATTCTCGATGAGTCAATGCAAATATTTGATAGAGGAAGAAAAAGAGGAAGAAAAAGAAATGCATTAGTTTCAACCATTCATTCATAACTATGTCACGTAAGCAATACATACATCGATTCTCTTGGGATTTTTTTATCACATAAAACAGTATTTCGGAAAACTTCGCAAAACTACCCAGGTCGAAGATTCCGATCACCGCATCCCGCAGGATCTTGCTGGAAATATGCGGAAAAATTCACCGTATCCTCCAGGAAAACGCCGGAAGTCGCCGGAACAGGGTGGCAGTATTCCTGCCGGAAAATTTTCGGATTTTTTCCGGTGACTTCCGGACAACTTCCTGCATGAAACGTGAGGAATTTGACCGGAAGACACCGGAAAAATCCGAAAATTTTCCCGCCGGAATACTGCTATCCTGTTCCAGCGACTTTCGATGTTTTCCTGGCGGAACCGGCCCGTACTTGTCGACCTGGGTCGACCATGACCAAGGATTATTATTTCTGTAAAAAAAAAAAAAAAAGAACTTGATACACTTAATAATATTTGTATTTCAGATAAAATTTTATTTTTCAAAAACTGCATGTTATCAGTTAAGCGACGACTGAATAATATTGAGTTATTTAAAGAGGAAACAAAGAAATTTCGAGGTAAGATCTACATATTAATGTCATTATATGATGCATTTTATTTTATCCTTATTTAAATAGTAATACATGATGACAAGTAGGAAGAATGAAAATACTCTTTGAATCGATTTATTTTTTCTTTTCTTTTCTTTTATAGAAAACTAATTCACTCTTTTGAAAATTTATCAAATGAACTATTCTATGAAATTTTTGATTATCTTGATGGTTATGAAATATATCAAGCATTTTCAAATCTTAATAGTCGTTTTCAAGCATTACTAACTTGTTCATCTCTTCGACTTAAAATTGATCTTCGTTTTCATCCAGAAGATATCCTACAGTATTGTTCTACATATGTTGTTACTCCAAACAAAGATCGAATCATTTCACTTAGATGGTCCAATCTTCGTGATTATAAGTCAGGTTTTACACTATTTAATATTGATTCATTATTTAGTCGACTTGAGTCATTGACGTTAGGTGATATCGAATCGAATCAACTCATACCTCTTCTCATAAGTTTAATATCTCTACCTCGTCTCTACTCATTGACAATCAATTATGATGATGATCTCAAAGATATTAGCAATATCTATCAAATACTTCTTAACTTTCCTATGTTAAAGTATAACAAATTGTCATTTTTTTCACTTGAATCATTTATTCCTCTATCAAGAGCAACCACAGACCAATTCAGTAGTATAAAGTATCTCGTTATTGATCATTGTTGTAGTCTTGATGAGTTGATTGATATACTTTCATATACACCTCAACTTTATCGGCTAACTTGTAAACACGTAGATGAATCAAAGAAAAACATCGTGAAAGATACACTCAACGTAATATTCAATTTGACTTGTATATCCATTGCTGCATGTTATGCAGAGTTTGATGAAGTAGCAATGTTTCTTACCACTCTATCACCTCAATTAGAATTATTACGCATTAGTACTTTCAGAGATGTGACTTATTTGGATGCTAATCGATGGGAACGAATTATTTCACAACATTTACATCATTTAAGTACATTTGAGTTTAAATACGAAGAACCTATTGATGAAGACTTGGAAGTTAGTGTTTATCATGAAAGACTTAATGAATTCAACTCATTATTTTGGATGAAACGGCAATGGCTCTTTAAAATTTATATCGACACGAACTTTTGGGAAAATAACGTTATTGTATGTTCTATTTTTCCATACAGGTTTATTGAAAAAATCATTTTTTAAAATAAAGATTTGTTTGTATTTTTGTTTTGTAGGCCAATACAAGGCAATTCTCATGAAGAGAGAAAAAACAATGAAAGTTTTAATGACATACTCAGTCAAAACATAATAGAACAAAGTATCATTCCTAATCAACAAGAGTCTTTTGCTTATTCTAAAATGCTTTCTGAAACTAATCAATTAATCGTCATCGATCTATCATATTCTGAATTTGATGAAACTTTTTTTGATACAATACATCCTGTTTTGACCACGATACAAATTACTTATTTGAATATTATGCTTCGTGACATTTTCATTGGCGCGTTAATCGATCTAGTCGGATGTTTACCTAATCTTGATTCATTGGTAATTTCATCTCTAAGCATGATACAACCACGATGTTTATCTATAGAAGAAACAAGAACTTTTCGTTTGTTATCAAATAACAACAAAATCACTAAAGTTAATCTTAAAGAAATGAATGACTTAGCACAAGTTCAGTTTCTTCTCGATCTCTGTTCTCAAATGAAATATTTCGAGGTGGATTGTACAAATGGTGTATCACCCGAAAATGTTGTACAATTTATTTTAATGAAAAATATCAAACGTACTTGTAATCTACGTTTACTATGTCTTAAAATTTTACAAACAAATATGAACATCGTTGATACATTAAAAAGTATAATTGATTTTGAACAATTGTGTCATAACTATACAATACAACAAATAGACACTAAAATTTATTTACGATTGAATTAATGATAATTGAGTTATTTTATTAAGTTTGTAATCAAGTAGATATTTCACATATACAATAAAGTTTATAGTTACCTGTTATTTCAAGCAATTTATAAAATAAAGAGTTAATTAAGCACCGAAGAGAATGTAGCGGCAGATTTAAGTTCTTATATCTAATATGTGCCATGTAAATTAAGTCGATTGGCTTAAGATTGTACCTTGTATAGAATGAAATATGTCTTGGAATGACATCAATTTGGAAGAATTTCAACAGAAAGATTATAAGAAAATATCCATACGACACGTTTATTTCAACATAAGTTTTCTCGACGAACTATAGTAATTATACAAAGTATTCGCCGGAGTCTTTGTATCAAGTCTAAATCCATCGTGTCTTGTGTAGCTAGACAAAGTCCATCGAATGTTAGATATTTCCTGAAGTTTGTTTTGTGGTAGACTTGAAGTAGAATTTGAGAAATACGTATTGTTAATGCTAACGACAAATCAGAATATTTCGACTAAGCATTCCTTCTGTAGCTTGTTTCAAAAAATTCATGAAGTGTATCAACTACAAAATTCAAAATGTATTAAATCGAATCCATTTTCAGAGATCTCTTAGGTAAGATGTGGATGTAGAGGTGTATATGAAATCATTGCGCGTAAAATCATTATCGGTTGTAGTGGATAAAAGGGAATGATGAATGTAGCTGATACATACATAGTCTATTGATTATTAGATATTAAGTATGAATAAGTTTAAAGATGTGACTGTCTCGCGCAACCACATCCACACATACAATCACAATCGAACATCTGGGGATTTTTACGATGATTGAAGAAATACGAAGTAAATAACAGATAACACATCGAATGTATTCCTGATTTTTTATTAGAATTTTTTGTTAAAATAAATAAAATCATCATGAATTCCTTTCAATCATGAATTGTAAGTGAAGTTAAATGAAAACCTACAACTGTAAGCTTTATTATTACTTAGTTTTAGTGTGTGACATATCATAAATGGGGCAAATCAAAATATTATTATTTATTATCTTCAATTAACGACTCTATAATCAGCTATGTGCACAAAATTCGAAAACGTATTCCATTCATTTCAATTTCAATGAAGCCTTTGAAATATTGTCGAACTATCTAAATCTTGTTCTTAATGCTGGTGTTCGTAAGGAATAATAGAAAAAGTCTAATATCTGCTGTCCTTTGTTACTGTGGAATATATTCATTTAGTCAGCGTTGCGAGAACTATCAGCAACGTTTATATCAGAATCATTTGTAATCTACAACCCACTTCTTGACTGCTTAACTGAAGGTCGTCATTCTGTTTGTTATGCGTAGTATTTTTTTTTAAGAAAATGTTTAAATAGAAAAGAACTTAAAATAAAAATAAAGAAATACTTGTTTCACAAGATGATTGATGTTTGTTTGATTTCTAAATTTTTGTTATTTTAACTGAAATTATGTCATTTACATATTATTATATTTCAACCACCAGAATTTTTATTAAAAATAAAACGAAATTACAACATATAGACATCAGAAAAATTCTAAGACTAAATTATTTCTAATTTATTTGGCAGCCTGATACATTTTAAAGATCATGAATAGATAATTGTCGTCGACGAGTAATTAGAACACTTTGTATTGTCATATACATCTTTGCACTTCAATATAATTTTGTAATTTTAGTATAGAAAAAATACAAGTTTCTACTCCTCAGGTAGCTATTTTATAAACTCTCTGTTACGAAGTAAACATTATAGTAAATCTGCACACCAAATATCATGAAATATGTAAAAACATAAATTTCTAAAACATATTACGAATGTTTCAGATTAGTTCACTCGCTTTTCTTCAATTGTTTCCAATTACATGTCAAATGAATAAGCCTCACTTTGTTATTTAGACTGTTTAAGATGACATCTGTCTATAGTTAAATCATAGTTTTCCATCAAAAGATCCATCCAATGTTGAATGCTGTCAGATCAACTGTTCGAATACACCTTTTGTCTCATTTCGATTTTCTCTTTTCTTAACTCGTTTGGGCGGATCGAACAGACAAAAATGACTAGGCATGACGGATAAAATGATGTTTTAGGCTAACCCGAATACATTTTAAGAACACTCCTTGAAAAATCGATCATTCCTGATGCGTAGGCAAGACATATGACACTAAACCTGATCAATAGTGTAGACACTTTAAATTGGATTTTTTACGCATTCTGACACCTTTTTTGCTACCTTAAGGAAGTGAGTCAACAAGGAGTTTTGCATTGCATACTCAAATAAAAGAAGTGTTAATGAGTCATCGCAAAGGTTCGATACAAGAAACAGAAAAATAAAAACGTCTCCAAACCAACACTTCATGCATCATTATGTCACATAAGCTATACATGCAAATATTCTCTTGGTTTTTTTTTTCTTCTTACATATCAAAGTATTGTGGAAAACTTAGCAAAACTAGACGATTGCAAACGATTATCAAATGTTTATAGATAATACTTTGATACAATTAAAAATAGTTTATCAATTATATGAAATAAAAATCATTTCAAATAAAGTTTTATTTTCAAAAACACATGTTTCGATTTAAACGACAATTGTGAAAATGACAAGCCTTTTGAAAACGAAACAAAGAAAATTCGAAGTATGTTGTACATATTCACAGTATTATATAAAATATTATTTTTTTATACTTTTTTAAATAGTATTATATGATGACAAATAAGAAAAGAGAAAAATGCTTATCAACTCGATTTAATTTTTCTTGGTTTTTTTTTGCTAGAAAAAATATTACTTGTTTTGAAAATTTATCCAATGAACTTCTCTATGAAATTTTCGATTATATTGTTGGTTGTGAATTATATAAAGCATTTTCAAATCTTAATACTCGTTTTCAAGCAATACTAAATTCTTTATATCTTCAACTAAGAATTGATCTTCGTTTGCACGAGAAAACCTTCTATGAATATAGTCCTACCACTACTGTAGCTTTAAATAAACATCGAATTATTTCACTTGGCTTGGATGTTTGTCATCACTTTATTTCATGTTTAACAGTATTGCAGATCGATTCATCATTTAGGCGACTTGAGTCACTTATGTTACATAATATCAAATCATACGAACTTATACCTTTTCTTATAAATTTGAATGGTCTACCTTGTCTATTCTCATTGATTATCTATTACAACGATGATCTCAAAGAGATTAGGAATATCTATCAAATAATTTTCAATTTACCACTGTTAAAGTTCATTTTTCAAGCACTGGTCTATCACTCCTCTATCAATAGCAAGCAACGATCAATACAGTGATATTAAATATCTCTTTATTGATCATGCTTGTAGTCTCAATGGGTTAAATAATATACTTTCATACACACCTCAACTTTGTCGTTTAGCTTGTAAAGAAATGGAAAAATCAAAGGAAAATTTCGTTAAAAATGCACCTAACGTAACACTCAGTTTGACTCGTTTTTCAATTTCTCAGTGCTATGCACAAGATGAGGAACTAGAAACATTTCTCATAAAGGTATCACCTCAATTAGAAAAATTATGTATCAATAGGTCCAAAGATGTAAGTTATTTGGGTGGTACTCGATGGGAACGAATTATTTCAAAATATTTATATCATTTAAGTAAATTTTAATTTTAATATAAAGAATTTATATTTAAATCATACGCCGGAAAAACTATTTATTATGAAAGATTTAATGAATTCAACTCATTATTTTGGATGAACCGAAGATGGTTCTTTAGAATCTCTATTGACACAAACTTGAGGGATCAAATAGTTATTGTCTAATCCATTTTTCCATGGAGGTTTATTAAAAAGGATCATTTTTGTAAAACAAATTTTTGTCTATGTTTCTTTTTATAGGCAAAACTCAGAGCAATTATCATACAGATAAGAAAAGTTTCAACGACAGTACCGTTCAAAATATGATACAACATAGTACTATTTTCGATGATTTACTGCGTTTTCATACGTCTATGATGCTTCATGAAAGAAACCAATTAACTGTCATGGACCTCACGCGTTCTCAATATGTTGTAAATTTTTTTGATATATTGGGCCCCATTTTAACTAAGATACCGATTATCTGTTTGAATATTACGTTCCAGCAGATTTCCATTGGCATGTTAATCGATCCAATCAAATATTTACCTAATCTTAATTCATTAATGATAGCATCTTTAGCAATTATACAATCAACATAAATTCAACTTCTGCTGGATCTATTTCCTTGTATAAAATATTTCGAATTGGATTGTACAAATGGTGTCTCACCCAAAAATGTTGTACAATTTATTTTAATGAAAAACATCAAATATATCCCAAACTCATCCTAACTTTGTCTTAAAATATAACAAACAAAGATGGACATCGTCGAAAAATTAAAAAGTGCTATTGACTTTGAACGATTGAGTCAGAACTATGCAATCAAACAAGTGGTGAATAAGATTTATTTAGAATGGAACTTGTGATAACTTAGTTGCATTATAAAGTTTTTAATAAACTAGAGATTTCATATGTACAAAGAAGTTTATTATCATTTGCTATTGAAACCAATACATGAAACAAAGAGTTAATCAAGTATTTAGAAGAATTTAAGGTCAGATTCTAGTTTTCTCGTTTACCATTTTGTCTATAAGAGTTTATTATGTTAAACCATGGCCGTATCTTGTACGGAATCGGATATAGTATGGAATGATATCACTTTGGAAAAATTTCAGCATAAAAATTAGAAGAAAAGTTTAAGAATACTTTTTTGACCTTACTTTTTCATCAAACATTCAAAACCCTGCAGGATACTCCCCTAAATCTTTGGATCAAGTCTTAAATTTATCGATATGTTGTGAAATGGGGTTTTTTCTTCTCTTCAACCTTACTTCGACGATACATCATCGCTTTCAAAAAAAAAAAGTGAAAAATCACTTTGTGCTTAACTGGTTGATCTATAAGTTATCTAGCAAACGTCTAATTATTAGAGTGTAATCACT